TCTCCAGCGATAAGAATGTGGGTGTAGGACTTGTTCAAAGCAAACTGAAAAACGTGGTTCAGTTTGGAGTCCATTTCCGACGTTGAGTTTGGTGGGCGGTAAATCGCGGCTAATAGACATGTGTCCTTGTTTCGCAACCATAGGCGGCACCAAAGCGAATCGGGAGCTCGGATTTCCAGAAATCGATAACTTCACATCGGAGGTTTGCATGATAGTAAAGAATCACACTGCCACCCCTTCCGGTTCTATCCGTCCGAAGCAGCGACATACCGAGTAAGTTGCTCTCAGAATCAGTTATCTCAGGGTTTAACGATTTCTCTGTAATCATGACGAGGTTCCACGATTATGAGGCATGGAGTTCTCTAAGTTCGGCCAACTTACCTAGATGGTCTTTTGCGCTTGAGTACATGCAAGCTAGGGCTTTTGTTGTTAGGAGTTCATTGATAGATGTCAAGTTTGTGTTCACTTTTAAGCCGGCCGTTAGGTGGCCGGCAATTAATCGTTTTTTGGTTTATGTATTTCAGTCAACTTGCGTGGCATTATTAAGCGTTCCTGAACAGAAGTTTCACTGGTGCTGTGCTCGGTCCTCTTGTGTGCCGTGGCCGCTGTTGTGTCGGTATCTCCGCAGGACTGTGCAAATAAAGCATTTGTAGCGTTTGCAAGTTCCGTTGAATTGCTTCCGACTTTTGGTCGTTCGCCTGCTGCTTTTGACCGGATCTCTGTTGGCAGCCTAGCTCGAAACTTTAACCAGCTATCCAACAGAACTTGCGTCATTCCCTCGGTGTGTAGTATTACTTTCATTAGCCTTGGACCGCAGCCCTTGTAGTTAGGTGCTGACGGAACTCTTGTCAGGGATTTGGCAATAACATTGTCAACAGAGACTGCTTCGCAGATGTAACACCACTGCTCTCGGTCATGTGTTTGTGCATCGTGATCAGAAGAATGCAGAACCTCGGAACACCATGAACCAATATTGTTTTTGTGCTATACCTATTAGCCATGCCGCGTTGGTCAACTGCTACTTTTGGCCGATATTTCCAAGGTTGATCAAGTAATATGCGTTCTCCGCTCGGGGAGTTGCGAAGACGAACTGCTGAGAGCAGGACAGCCTCTGTCTCATCTGCTGAGTCTAGTGTTACTCGAAGCATTCGAGGTTCACCAGAGTGCACTGAGGTCGGGTGACGCGCTACGCGTTGCATTATTGTATTTTCAACCCGAATACCAATCGTCTCGCAGATGGAACTCCACTGGTTGCGACCGTCTTGCAACTTGCTTTTTGTTGTGCCAGATTTGGATTCGGGAACATTGGTACACACGAGAGTTAACGCAGCGTGATGTTGTCTAGCGAGTGTTGGCTTTATACTTTTTGCCGGCAATTTGGGATGTTTAGAAGGCACCACTGGAGTTGACGGTGAAAGCTGCTTTGCCCCACGCGTGCTCCTTACTGAAGATGCACTTATGTGTGTCGCTCCCAGTGTGTTTGTCGAGGCAATCGATGCGTACGTTATCTGCTTGTTATCTGCACCGGATTGCCTTCGGCTCTGAGCTGTCGGCGTCATGGCTGAAGCTCCAAGTGAAGCGTCTATGGTTGGAGAAGTGGAAGCAGGCTTTTTTGAGATTTGCCCGCGCATGGGAGTGAGGTGACCCAGTGGGTTTAGAGTCACAGACGCTGCATTGCGCTTGGAGCGTCTAGCTGTTTTCTTCGTTTTAGACTCGCAGCTTACTTTGGCTGGTTGAGGTATTACGTGGCCATATTTACCTCCGTGGGAGCGATCTTAGTATTTACAAAATGTGCGATTCCTTCAGTCATCCTACCACACTTTTCATGAGCAACGATAAACAGTTGACAACTGGAATGACGACATGTTGGGCAAAACCAAATTGTGTCAGCAAGTTGGTTTGTCTGTCTCACTTCTTGGACGGATTTGCCTACACATTGCAGACAATACGATCTAATGCAGCTCGAACAAGTAATACTGATCTTAAGGGATTCACTGCAGTTGTCTGTGCAATATAGGTGAGGTTGAACCATTGGAATGCTAGTCGTCCTCTTATTGTTTACAACAAGGTTCACCTTGAGGAGTGTTCTCTGCGCTAGGCGTGGCCCAAACACGTCAGAACTTGAACACGAATTGAGAGTTGTTCAACCGCACAAAGGCCAGGCGGTAGAGGCAGATGGAGGCTTTAACGGGCAGACTGTCGGGTTCGGCGATCAATCGACTCGCAGTGGAACACACACACCCAGACAAAGCGGCAGCGTGTGTTAATCGGCTTGCCATAAGCGACGATGCAGGTGGAGCGCTGATAAGCGTCCCTAGAGCTGCTCAGTTGATGACCGGTGCAAAAAAGCTGTAACTTGCTTTTGCTGCAACTTGCAGAGATTGTTGCCGCGTAGTTTTGGAGCCCTCAGCTTCTTCTTCCGAATGAGATCAAAACCTTTTCCGAAAAACCGGTTTGATGTAGTTACACAAGTGGAATTCGGCAAAGAATATGCCGGAAACTGAGAATTGGATCCCAAGTATAATCCACACAGGTTAGATCCAAGAGTTGGGAAGCACTGAGTAGAGCTCGTCGAACTGGTTCGAACGAGCGCAAGCACAATATTGTGTGGGGAGAATTGGAGTGGCCACAGAGGGCAAAGTGAGAGCCGAGTTAAAGTGAGGCCGCAAAGAGACTTGTCACATGTAGTCGTGTTCCTCGACATCAAAGGTGCCTTCGATTCGGTTGAACGATGTGCCCTTTGGAATTGTTTACTCAGGAAAGGTGTGCCCGAGAAATATGTAAATATTATCCAAGCATTATACGCGCGTAGCATGGACAGAGTGAGGGCTTACGGCAAGCTGTCGCCACCCTTCAATATCTCCAGCGGTGTGAGACAAGGATGCGCGCTGTCACCTTTTCTCTTCAACTTCGCTACTGACTAAGTCATGGAGATTGCATTTACAGAACATTACTTGGAAGGTGTGGAGCTGCTCCCAGGAGAACGACTTCTTGACTTGGAGTATGCAGACTACACTGCCCTCATCTGTTACAGCTCCCTGACATGCTAAGCCGCGCTGGACAGATTAGCAATGGCTGTCAACCGCTTCGGGCTTTGCTTTGCACCATCGAAATGCAAAGCGTTCCTGTAAGATTGGCAGGGATCGCCTCCTGCGCTGACCCTTGGTGGGGATCAGCTAGAAGTCGTTCAGAAATTCAATTACCTGGGAAGCTGTATCAACGCCCTTGGGATCGAAGATGAGATCACGAACCGTTTAGCGAAAGGTCGAAGTGTTTTTGCTAACCTTCGCTACCTATGGTGGCGGCGCGACATCACTCTAGCCCTGAAGGGTAGAATGTACAATGCAGCGGTACGTTCAACCTTACTGTACGGTTACGACACCTGGCCCCTAGGATCGGCGGACACGAAGTGGCTAGTTACCTTCGACCATCGGTGCCTTCGCAGTTTGACTCACATCTGGTGGGAACAGCGTGTGAGTAACGAGCCTGTTCGACGCTTTGTTTACGGCACAGGAAAAGGAACTGAACGGCTCAGCTCCGCCATTTCACGTACCAGGCTCCCATGGCTGGGCCACGTGTTACGCCTTCCAGCCCACGACCTTCCACGACGTGCGTTGTTTGCTCACCGAGGATGTGGACGGAAGAAGAGGATGGATGGCCAAGCGATGACTTGGTCCGGAGGAATTAAGGCCCTCACTTCTGAGCTGGCCTCGGTTGGAGCGTCACGGCTCCCTGGTTGTGGTCCGAAAGATGCTGAACACGTTTGGCCGAATACACTTGCTGACATGGCAAGGAGCCTACCTCAGTGGTGTTCCTGGTGTGAGTTTCTTTGTCCCTCCCCATCCCTTTGAGCCTCCACTCCATCTACAATCTCATTTCGTAGCGTAAAACATAAAAATATTTTTGCCTAGTAGCCGGCTGATAGCTTACCGGAACGATGCTTATCCGTTGCTGGCAGCTCAGCTGGCATGCAACTGTTTTATTTATTTTCCTTTTCCTTTACGTATTGCGGCACAGTAGCTGAGATGTTTCCCACCTCTAGCTGACGTGTATAAAAAATATGGCCGTGATGATTTATCCAACTCTTACGCGGTTAATACAATTGGCATAAACTGTTCCCGCTCCTTAGGGATCAGCTTAGTCAAGATGAATTGATACAAAAAGGAACCAGTGCTTTTTATTGGGGCAAGCCGCTACGTATATAGGAAAAGTATTGGACTAAACTCTATGCCGCCGCTTCGTAGAGTTGACAAGTATCGTGTTGCACTGGTATTCAGGCCGATCAGCATATTGCACGCAACAGAACTGCAAATCTCTTTTTACACAATCCCCCACTACAAGGGGATCAGAATTACAGTATAAGATCAGAGTGAACCTTTGGACTCAAAAGATCAACCACAGAGTACATTGGAGCCGGACTTAACAAAGTTGGCTAGCTTTTACACCCATTTCTGATATTCGGATGGTTAATTTACATTTGACTGTGCTAAGTTAAGCTGCTTGTTTAACCTAATCAACGGAGGAACATTGTCGACACAAAAGCAGTGTTAGTAAGGAAAGCGACCAAGCAATGTAGATCGAAGAGTTTCACAGATCAAGCGTGCTCTCCTTTACACTAGCATGTATTTTCTCAAACAAATCGTTGAACCCGAAGTACCGATATCTACAGCAAGTATAGTATTTACGGGAGGTGAGGGGGCCGAAGTTCGAGGAAGTTCAGTGTTGCTGTGTGGTTTTCGGATATTAGCTTTAATGCAAAGTAACTCAACTGAGAAGGTTGCTTTATTCTTCGGGCTGCGCGTTTCATTTGCAGACGTTTCGTCACCAAGCACCATGACACCATCATCAGTGCGGCTTTCAAGGCCTGAATCGCATAGCCTCGTGAGCCAATTGCAGTTCCGAGTGGCTATTGATTATGCACTGCTTTTAATGTCAGCTGTCGATTGGCTCACCTGCGTCGGGCGTGATCGTTACTCAACTGAGTAATCCGCTTATACTTTATTTGGCGATTAATTACACACATTTAGCCATCAAGGGAGGGAATCTGGACGAAGGAAAATACTGGTAAAGGAGCAATACATTTAACTATGAAAAAAGCGGCTGTACTGTGTTTTTGCATGACCATGCTCTGAAACGTCGAAAACGCACTAGGTAAAGGAGCAACAACCAACGGCAGGACTTGTGCTGACTCACATGGTATGGTAATCTTGTTGTTGCATAAACTAGAAGCAGATTCAACTCATACCATATTCTGAGTGCAACTGTCTTTGGTGCCTATTTCCGGTGCACGATTTTGTAAGTATTGATATGTCAATGAGATTTCGCATGGGAATCCCGTCACATTATGCTAAGTGTTTTAATCATGTGCATGTCTTAAGCTTATTACTCTGTAGCTCAAAGTAAACTGCGGGACAGCAGTTTATCCAATTGGCTTTAAGATTTTCAAGGATACATTCAAAGTTCAAATAAAATGGGCCCAAGGAATATCTCAGACGTTAACGTTGCATGACAACTCCCAGAGTTTTGTGTACGCATCGTTCACCTAAAGTGACCGCAGTAAAACAGCTCAGCGTAAACTGTCAACTGGTTTAATTGTGGATGCTGTAAACCATTGCCGTTGGTATGAGCGGAAAACATTTGGTGGGAAGCTATAGTTTAGACTGTGTGTGTGATTAGTAAATAAATAGTTACGTCACCCAGTTCATCGAAAACCAACAAGAATTAAAACAACACCGTGGGTCTGTCTACAAAAGTCTCTAACTCTGCTGAGGTGATGGTCAGTTAGTTAGTATTCGTGATCGTGGAGCAGGTGTAGAGCAGTAAGAACGACTGTTCACAAATCGGTCTTGAGGCAACCTAAATGGAAACTGTGGTGAGTAATGCAGAACTTTGCCATCAGGCTGGGTAAACTATGTGCCTTTTGTGGGATGACAATTCAGCCGACTTTCACGTAGTAAATCAGATGAAATAAGTCTGCAGTTAACCGTCAAAAGCGCAGCTGTAATCAAGAAGCTGGACACCCACTGATTTATTTCTCCTGTCGGGATCGGATTTGGCTGAATTTAACGCCAACACATGAAAGGAGCGAACGGCTAGTACTGTCGAAGAGTGTATCAGTTTGTCGTCAGGCCACCGTTTACACTGGTTTATTAAAGAAAACTGCTAACATGTATCACAGGTATCACCAAATGCAGGATGTTATCCCAGCGATATTGCATTGCTTAGCAGAAGTGAGTCTTTTCGCCCGTCGTCCAACTTCAATTCTCCAATACCAGAAAGCCGCGATAAAGTATACCGTAAAGTATTCATCACATATATGCGAACTAAAAACCTAATTTTATTGCTGCAGGTGTCCGGCATGTTGGGCCAACTTCCGCTTACTCATGTGTGCGATGACGTGTGACCCGGATCAGGCAAATTTTCTCACTCCGATGGTCTGCGGAAAACTGGTCCGATCCGTTAAGTATAACTTAACAGTTTCGGTGACTGATGGCTTCTTCACCAGCTGCAAGGTGAGCAACTAACTGCTTCATCGGTTTTGTTTCTGATAGCAATGCTTAATATTGGTTATTTAATACCTTCTCAATAATTTCCCTCATTTTCTTCCTTCATTGGCTATTGAGTACCCAGTTGTCTCATACAGCGAGGTATCTTCAGTGATGTGATGTTTAGACTAGAACACACAAGGTACAGCTATACCTCATCTTAACAAGGTTCTTGGCAAGACATAATGATAGCGCGAATATATCCTGTGCTGCGGAACTCATCACAGTCATATCGTCATTTAGGATTGAATGCATCTGTATTAATAAGCCACATTCTGTCAAACGGTAGATAGAACCTGTACTGTTTCTGAATTCAGTCCTGTTTCAGGCAAACTGTATTATCACCATGGAGAGCACATCAGTTCCATCACAAACAGCTTCTTTCGACTGATTTGCAGCTTACACCAAATTGTTTTCTCTTTCACAGGACGTCCGATTCTCTACTGGACGCTCAGTGGACTTGATGTGTGACTCAGCATTTTGCACACCGGAATTACTCCTCAGAGGTCTCGAAAACCACAGCCCATTTCCACTCAGGTTTGTCGTCACTCCCGACTACAAATATGATTCACTGGATATCAGCGAAAACAGGGCCTACAACCAACCTATGTATAGTTGCAACCAAGCGGTGCCAGCACGTGGATCGGATTCCGGAGGGCCAAGCTGCTCTTGCACAGATTGTGAGGGTTCATGTCGCCCTCCACCTGATCCCCCAGTGTCGGCGTCTCCACTGCGTGTTTTCGGTAAGTCTATTATCTACATTGAAAGCAGGGTTGTTCTAACTAAGTTTATGAATGAGTGTCCATTCTTTGCTGGTCTGATAGTGAATACGACGTCTGAGGGTTTCAGATGGAACGAAGGCCCTGATAATGCAAGCCAAGCTACAGCATCTTAAGCGCTCCCTTGGTACCTAAACCAGCTAGTAAAGTAAGCGTGGAAAGAACGATGAACATGCATTGTAATGCGTTTCTCCTGAGCAATGAAAACCGGGCCGATGGATTTGTGACCGCTGGAGGGGGACAATGACGGTCGTGTACAGTGGAACTGACAGGTTTTGTTCCTTGAGTCATGGTTTCTAGGGTATTCTCAGCAAATACAATGGGCCCCACATCTTAAGGTTAATGTAGCCAAATACATGCCTTTGCGCCCTCTTGGTTATTGTAGATTGATCAAAAATAAAACAAGCCGGAAAACCAAAGGTTACGTCATTCCAGCTTTCGGGGATATTCATGTATGGCCAAAATTACACCGCAGTAGGTTACCAGAATCGTAAGTTGAAGAAACTGAGGAAACTATGTTTGCCTTGCAAGTAAGGGGTACATTAGGTATTTCACAACGTTTGGTAGGCCTCTTTCTACCATACCTGATAAATCTTGAGTCACATACGTGTAACTTGCTACCTACTCTCCTCCGTCGGTATGAGTCGGGGGACAACACGCTTGACCAATGGAGTACGTGTCATGATTTCAACGTAGGGTTCAACAGGAGTTATGAGGTGACACCAAATACCCAGATTATCAACGCACGCGTGTTTACATCTAAGTTCAAACATACGGCAACATAGAAAGAAGATTCGCGAAGCAAATTACAGAACATTTAAGTGCCTACAAATTAATTACCACTTTGCGCGCAACTCACATGCGTCGTTAGCATACGTCGATACTCGATTAATGTAGGCATGACCAGTAGTTCTATAATGTACTGTAGTGATATCATTCACGTAGCTTGGAGGCAGGTTACCGTGCTAAAAGTTGTACATCGGCTCCTTGTTGGAACTGGCTCATTCAGCATTGGCATCAATACGTGTATAGGTAACTATTCAATTGTAGTTCATTTCAAGTAAAAGCAATATGCACTCGGAAGGATGAATATTCAACTGTTACATACACGCCTTCAGCATTGTAAAAGAATAAAACTTAAAGCACTGAATACACAAGTAGTTTGATATGCGGTATGGACAGCAGTAAATTTACACTACAAACTTGCTTTTGCACTTCGGAAGAATTTAGGTATGGTCGTAAAAGATGCACCAAAAATGTAGAATTATGGTCGATTGGTAAGCACTCGTAATAACACAAATGGATCTATACTTTTGTCTGGTTAGAGACGTTGATACACAGTCAGACAGTGCACCATGAATAGGGTGGCTTGTGTCGATGAGAATTGTGGAAGCAAACATTTTCATGTACTTGCATAAGTGAACACAAATAGGTCAGCTAAGGTCATCTTTGGAATACAACTGCATGGGAAGAGTTGCGTCCCTGATTTATCCAGGATTTTGTAACACGGTCTTAGGAATACGAGAAACAACAGATCCAGTGAGGCGAGACGCAAGTGGTGATAAAGCGCAGTGTTAAGTAGCGGGGGACAAAGGAGGATGGAAGAGGAGCGGCGTAGAAAGAAAGCCTCCCTACTTTCGTGAAGTGTTTATTCCTATGGAGTGACCAGGAAACATCGCTGCTGTGTTACACTTAGATACTTCACTGATACCGTTGAGGGCAGACTCTCATCACCTATGCAGAGTTCGGGACATTCCATAAGATGTTGCTGGAAACAAGAACGGCATTGCATTTGAATGCACTCAGCGATAAAATCTGAGTTCTGGACAACACTGCAAGTTTGTTCAGAAGGGACTGTAATCTGGTTGATGAGGTTGTAACCGGATGTTGAATACCCAAGACCATGTCAACAAGAGATTAACTGTAGAAATTTATAGATCATACAATGTACTTGAAACTGCGATAAACAGGACCGGACAGTACATTTAGAATATCGCTGCTGAAGGAAAATACAACTGAGAGTGTTTTTATAAAATATGCTTTTTTATACTTCTCGGCAGCTGTGTTTTGGAGATTTGATTACATTGGATGTTTTGCAAGAGTTTATATCCGACTTCCACATGGAACACGCTGGAGCACAATTCGCCCAACACTCACACTGTTATAGTCTAAAGCACTATAACAGCTAAAAGTGGAATGGTAGCCTGAACGTTAGATGGATGCAAGCATGTTGAGACATTGCCATTGCGTATATTAAAGGATCAATGTTCCAAAAACAAGCGAAAGTGTCTGACATGCGTCAGTTTATTGCTCAGCCTGTTTTCTGGTTGGTACAAGGAAATAACCCGTTAATTCATCAGCTTTTGGCACAAATGCCGGAATGCGGGATATCTGGCGACCGGCCTGTTCCCTTTATACTTCATTCCTAACGGTAACCACAATAAAGCGTACAAACAAACGCTTCAAATTCGCTTAGTCGCACTGGCAGTTTTTCGCAGTAGTTTGCTGGTGAAATGGCCTGTAAGGCATGCGACCAAGCACCGGACGGCTGTTCCGTTCCATTCAGACTCACAGATGATGCGTGGCCCTCGGCTGCTTCAGGAACCGAACGCATGACCTCTCGACACCATCGTCTGCAACTATTAATTGCTGTCACTGGTGACAACTGAAGACCTTCAAGATTTACAAGGTAACTACGATATGGCCTGGCTCTTCCTCGCCTGTCAAGCACATCACGAACGTTGCGAAGGTTGGCTACCAGATCCACGATCTCCAACAACGTCTTGTGATTGATCAGCAGCGAAAAGCTACTCTTCGTTTCGCAACTTCTTCCTTCGTTGAATTTTCCATGCTCAACAGTCAATGTACTTACACCTGGATTTTTATAGATATCAAAGCAAAACGCCGCTTGATCATTAGGTTCATTTGGTGTCGTTCTTCTGGAAAAATAAATAAATAATGAATTTTCAGAGTAATGGGAGGAAGGCGGGGTTGAATCTTGTTATGGAACTAAGTCCAGCGTGGGACTGCTCACAGGCAAACATGTTTGGTCGCTATCTGCATCGATAGATTGTATACCATTCTGTGGCTGCGTTCGACTGAGACAATCGTTACACAAAATCAGGATGAAGCATGTTGTGTGAAACACAAGAGATAATAAGAATCGGCAGGCAATTCAGCACACTAAATCTGCAAGCCATCACTATCATCAATGTGCGTAATGATATTTGCCGTGTGTCCAACCATTTTGAAATATTACAAGGTGATCTCTTCGGCATGTGCCGAAAGTGACTTAAAAGTAATATAAGGAAGAATTCGCAAGACGGAACTCCGTAATCGGCGAAATGATATCAAACAAGATATGATCCATAAATTGTAGAAGCAGAAATGATACGGAATGATACCCAAATTTGATAAGGCTTTCATCCCAACAGTTCACGAACTACATAGCAGAGCCTAGTCCGGAAAAGCGCCAGACGCGTCTCGCCCTATTGGGGCTCGAGAGTGGCGCGCATTCCCTCGGTCCTCTAATGAGGCTCGAACCCATGACCGCTAGAGGCAGATGCCAACTAGCCAGCAGCTTAAGCCACTGAGCCATGGGGGACGTCGGCTGGGCTACATAATTTGCAAACTAGCTGGGATGTAGCACCACCTATCTACCACTGTCACGGACAGTGGTTAGCCTGCAAGGTGATGACGTCCTCTCACTAGACGCTATACCCAAATTCTCACAAGATAATTCCAGTGTGCCGATAAATCTACCAATAGACTAGCTGTTAGACAACGTCGTCGCGCGTCTCTAGGTAAGAACTTACTCTCATCTGCTGCTCTACAGTGATGCATGTGTATGGGATCGCGGATCACGTGAGGTGGTCTGTCTGACACACCGTTTTTCATCACTTAATATTAAAGTTGGACGTTTGTGAGTAGGGTAAAGATTGCAGAAATTAGAAGTCACGATCAAAATTCAAGCACAACAATGTGCCTCGACGGGGAATCGAACCCAATATTGTAGACTGCACTGTCAGTATCATGTGATTTGACGTTTGGTCAGCATACTGCCCGGTGCCATTAAGTATCTTTTCTGACGACTCTGGGCCGCATCAAAGGCGGTTAATGACAGTATCCTGAGAACATATTCATGGGTAAGCAACTAGATACCGCGACTCGAACTCATCTTGTATAGTTGGACGTGCTCCATCGCGGTAACCGGGTTATTTACCTTGACTGCTTCGATACGGGTTGCTGACAAACACACTGTCAACTCGTCGGTTCAAATCCGAGGGCAGAATTCCCATTCGTGGAATGTTACCAAACCCTAATGCTATGGGGTTTATCAAGGCAGTGGTTGTTGTTTGCCTGGCTATCCTATTATTATAACCGAAATGGTTGAGGTACTCAACTACCACGCGGATCAACGCGAATCAAAATGAGGGTGCAAAACAGAATCCCTTGGTCAGGTATTTAAAGCAGGTGGACCTAAATGCGACTCACGGTTTATAAATGAATACCATCAGCTCAAATCTAAAGATTGTTGGTAATGTAGGTCCAAAGTAACATAGTCTGAGGAGACTGCTGGGTGCAGGAGAGCAAGTAGAAGGTTTACTTTAGTGTTCTTTCGTCTGAAAGGGCATGCTTAAGGATTATCTAAACATGCAAGAGGATCTACCTTAGAGACAAGGTCTTGTTAGATACGCCAAAGCAAGAATGTTGCAGTCACTGCCAAACGGCGAGCTTTTTATGGTCGCGGTTATTTATTCTACCTGTACACACAGATGGATAAGTGATTTTATGACTGAGATTAGCTGAAGACACAATTATAGCTCGAGAATGAATATGTTTCTCAACTCGACTAATCCCCAAACAAAAACGAGTGTTCATGTCGTGCTTGATAGAGACTGGGAATCTTATACACTGCTGAAGTACCAACCTTATCACCCTGACACCCTAATGTTCCACATATTACTATATCAACTGAAGTAACTTCTGGCAGTAAAGCGCTATGTTCCAGTTCTACACTTGTCTACATGCTAGCTTCATCATAATCAGACAGACCACCTAGTATACATTGTTAAGTATTCAATTTCAAACCAGAATTATAAAAAGTTTTCGCTTTATATTAGATGCTGTGTACTGTGTTAGTGATCCCAACGTTTGGGTAACCAATTGTCTTGCCAAAAATAAAGCATGTTATATTTGCTTCTAAGTGTGTGGATGGAAGATTGGTAGCTTGATCAAAGCCGGAGTTCATTTCTGTGACTATCCACTTGGGCAATAATGTCTTCACGGCTAAGTAGGATGGTTCGCGAGCACCACACGATGCGGTGCACGAAAGGGAAACCGGGACCATCTGTCGCTGTAACATGTCATGCCGCATTGCGAACGGTCACACAATCCCTTAGAGAGTATCTCTGCTTATAGTATTTGCAGTGCTTTCCATGTTTACGAAAAGCTTGTCTGGTTTTATTTCTTTATCGGTGCATATCAGTTTGGCATCTGCATGTTAAAGTTGAATAACCGTGAGATCTATACTGGCGGACTCATTTCTGTCCATTCTGTTAAACGAAGCCTCGTGCAATTCGTTTCGTTGCTATTTCAAATGCAAAAGTTACAACAACGCATTCCTATGAAAGTGAAAATGGGAAGTGTCAAAGCAGTCCCTGACCTATTTAACCTATTAAATTTTTGTCGAACCTGGTAGTGAAATTTTTCGAAATTGTTAGCTTTGACAACTGGATAACCTTGTGCTAAAATATCTTTGGAGATATTCCTACCACTCTTCACTTTTTCACCTGCAGGTTTTGATGCGTGGTGGGTGGGAGCGTTCCTCACTTTTATAGTCATTTCGGTTGTGTTTTGCGCCTTTGAAGTCCTCAAATGTATATTCAGAAAGGCTGGTATCAGGCCATGTCAGTCCAGGATAAAAACACCCGAATCCACACAGAGTACACCTTGGCCGAAGCGACTAAATTATTTGTCCAGACTGCAAGCTGCCCTGGAACACGCAATGAGTAAAGTAAGTTTGAACTACATGCAATTTGTTGTTTGCCTTTATGCAGCTCACAGTAGCTGCTCCGTCACAATTTACTGCAACTGGTTCCTTCTCTTCTTCGCAAAGTGTTTCAGTTGGATCGGTCGCCAGGTGGCTCGGTACCCCTACATCACGTTAACCGCCGCCGCTGTGATATCCACAATTCTCTCTGTCGGTCTGGTTAAGTTTACGGTGACCACCAATCCGGTTGAACTCTGGTCAGCACCAAACTCTCCATCGCGGTTGGAAAAGAACCACTTTGATCAACATTTCAGGTGAGTTGACTGCAGGAGCATGCACTTGGAATCCTCAAAAGTCTGCAAGCACCGGCCATCTTCTTCAGTCACTGAAATGGCCAGAATTCCGGATATTTAATGCTTAGGTACATATGGCACACTCATGATTGTCTTTTCTTGTTAGTGTCCTCAAGGAAGCCGAGTGTTTCCCCGTCATATCAGCATAATGCATATATTGCCTTTCTGGCAACCTCTATCAGTTTGAAAAGTGGCAGCTGGTAATCTTACTCGAGTCCCGATTAAATGAGATATCTTATACGCCTTGCGAGGCTCTAGTTATCATTGTCCGAGAACTGCACCAATGTAACTACGCTGACGTTTTACTTACCCTGAACACATAGCTTGAAACATCCCCTTTCAGTACAACAAGTGCACAATTGATGTCCTTGTTATCTCAAGCAGTACGCGAAATTTGGTATCCAGAACCTGATCACTCGAATGGTTATCAAACCTCAAAATAGTTTTGCCATAATTTATTTCTGAATATCATTATTTCTAATGATATTCCGCTACATTAGAGTCAAAAAAACTAAACGTCCCTTCGCAGAAACGCGTGGAAAATGAGTAATCGACAACTTGAAACAGTTAGTTCCATTCAATAGTTTGAGCAAGGACATGAGAAGACGAATATTGGCAGATGCTAGCATATCGTATTATCTCGTCAGTACCAATACAATAACAGGGAAATCCTTTTATATATCTTACAGGGCACAGTCAAGCCAATAAATTTATGGTTGTAGTCATTGTTGCTGGGATTAGGTCCACGGCAACCGCAGGTTGAAAACTAATTGCTTTTGGACACACAAAGCTGGTCTAATTCGGCTTATCGCGACGGCCTCGGCAAATCGTAAAAGGCGTGCATTAGTATGAGGTAACAAGATCCGGAACGCCGATAAGGGATTGACCAGGTGACGTGTCGCCAAAATGTGTCTGCCTATGGAGGACGCTGGCGGCTTACGCGAGCACGTGCTCGCTCGTTTTAAGTGACGATTTCTGAGCTTTTGTACATAAGGGGTAACTTTCTGTTTTTACTTGTAATTCCTAAATGTAGACTATGCGAGCGCAACATATATGTCTATTAAGTGGTTTGCAGCAATATACACCCACATCTTTCACTACGGCAGGCGCGCATTCATTTAAAAAGTTTGCTTTTACAAATTTTCATTCATCGCAACGGAGCACTTATTTGAGTCCGCACACCAAATTTTGTTCTCGTATTTCCATGCGCATTGAACCTTTTTAAGGGTGATAATTCATTAAAGTAACATAATATAATTGTTCATTGCTGGAAATGGAACAACAAACTTATGTTAAAGGAATGATTCTTTTGTTCGTCGCAATTAGCCGACAATTCAGATATGTCGACCAGCTCTCCGGAAAAGCACCAGACGGCCGTTTCGCCCTATTGGGGCGCAGTAGGCTGGAGGACCCCTACCAGATGGAACTGGTCAAGACCTTGCACTAAACTAAGAAAACTAAGCTAAGATTAGTCAAGTCCAAACTGTCTCCATTGTTCATTGAACCGACTCTCCAGTCGATGATGGTAGTCGCCCACAGACGCATATACGCATGCGCACAATACATACGGTCTGTTTGTCCAGTGGGTGGACAGAAAATCTGCGCACAGCAGCGTTGTGGAAAGGCATAGTTAGAAGTATCACCAGTTTTATTTTGGAACATTTAGCCAATAGCGGTTACCAAGTTGTGAAGATGGAAGCTGGCTAGCCGAACAACTTTTACGTGGTGCCAGCTGGGTGGTCTGGGTTAATCCTGTTCCAGCGAATGGATTGGCGGCAGTGTTTCGGGACGTGGTGGATTTTCGCCTGACAAGTGTTCTCCTTAAAAGAAACCACAAATGTCTGTTTCACAACACTTTGACGTGGCGGATATGACTCGCCATTAAATAAATTCACTGCTTCCTGCCTTTCCGGAAGAGCTTACCCCACTCGCGGACTTCAGCCAATGTGAAGATGTTATTCGATCCCTTCCCATGTTATCGAATTCACCGAACACAAGCACAAATTCAGCACAAAAGTAACAACTTCAATCAATATGATTACTAACCCATACACTTCTATATATACATAAAACATAACTCCAGTATACACTGATTACATAGTAACATCAGCGACAATTACCAATTGTACGCTCTGTATTATTATGATCATGCCTTTTTAGATCTGTTTCGCACCGTTCGGAATAAAACATTTATTTATTTATTTTTCCAAAACGCTCTACAAATGTTTTGGAAAGCGTCCACTAATAACGACAGACGCCATGGCGATTCGGCGAATGCAACCTGAAGTATGCAAGCAGAGGACTCCAGTGCAATCGCCTCTGTTGCCGTGGCCACAAATATACTAGAGCATTTTCATCTCGCTCACAGGCGGTGACACAGTTGTCCCCGTCATGTCATCGGACGAACGAACCGTCGTGTTTTGTGCGCATGTATCGTATGCTTGTGCGTTACTAACATCAAAGAACAATGTAGCCTGTTTCGACTTGACAAACAATAACAGCTTTGATCTAGTCAGTGGACTGAAGGTTCATCGCATCCAGTTCCAAATCAAATAGTCGTCCACATGCCCGGAAAAGCACTAGACGGCAGTTTCAGCCTATTGGGCAGCATCCGTGGTGCACATCCATCGGATCCATCAGGATTTGAACCCACGACAACCGGATCTGTTGACCTATTGTAAACTTATAACCAGTTTCATTAATGTATTCACCTGACGACAATCGTGTGAACAAATTCCTTCGCCGAAGGTGATACCGCAAAGTTGAATAACCGCATATATTCCCATGTAGCACCAATACCGTACACTGCACACTGTACACTTGTACATTACTGCTTTACATTTGTGGAGTACTGGATTCATAATCTGTTGACTAAATCTTGTCGACCCTTCACTAATTCCTAGACAGGACAAACAAATTTCTTCATTCAAGTCTTCCAACTGTCTGTTGCAGACTTACCGATTATATTATGATGCAACATTGACCAAAATGTGGGCAGGGCACTTAAGGTGCATTTGACGCTATTTCTATCAATCTATTTTAATATTTAACCTCCATCTCTATTAATTGTTTTAAAAGTGGTACTCGTAGCCATTGCAACCACTTAAACTTCACTTGTTTGAATACTGCCAAGTATCCTTGTTAACAATCACATCTAGTTGCAGTGCAGCGTTATCATCATAAGGTATAACGCGTTACTTCAAGGAAGAAGTAGAACAATGGTTTATAAGGGATAATATTCGAAAGGTTAACGGGTCCCTTAGTACTGTTAGGGTGAGAAGCAACATGTGATAATAGTGTCGATTAAATGATGGGTATGCTCCAGGGTTCGCCATCAAGATCTCGTTAACAATGATATAAGTAGCCGTGCCTGGAGCTTAAGCGAGATTTTACAAGTGCACGGTTTATTTTGTCCTGATGTTGTCTTTCGATCGGTACAGGCCATGACACCTACTGCAAATGTGTTGCCTTGTCGCGAATTCATCCCTCAAATAGTGGTAAGAATAAGAGGGATTGAGAGAGCGTTCCACGGCCGAAACACTCGAAATAATTGTAAGTTTTTGCGATATTTCAGTCAGATGTGGTGCATCACCGACTAAAACTGATGACCCACCCTTGAGATATTTCGGTTGAGTTTCAAGAAATGACAGTAAGAGTGAATGGGGTTTTTCAACAACCCTTACAACACTATTAGATCGCCCAGCTGACACTGATAACGCCCGTTGTGCAACCTTAGGACTTACAGTCCAAATCAAAATGGAAGATGGAACATGCCAATCAGCGCTACGCATACATATGCTACAACAACTTGCTTCTAGTTTTCATGTGTTTGGGGTATATGGTTCTATCATCACGTGCGTTCAGTACAAGCTGCTAAAACAGATGGGAACATTTTGCCTCCCTACATTGAGATCAAATAGCTACAGCAACCAATTTTGAGTACCGCGGCTATTCTATACACAGATGAAGCAGCTGGGAAGAGCTAGGCGTTTCAGCGAAATGTCAGCACAGAACAGCGACAGTATATTGTATGTGAGATGACTGGGATATAAATGTTTGGTCTTTGTTCAGATCATTGCTTTCATAAGATAGGATATCAGACAATTGCAAATGTAAGTTGCCACAATTATGACAGATATCCTACAGTAAGATTGACTGAGATGGTTCTCTTTCACTCTGGTCCCGTTTCGCCGTTTGTACGAATCATTATTTCCATTTCTCATCCAGCCCATTTTATAGAACACAGCAACTTATCATTCGTCCTCGAAACCAGAAGTGCTTTGTGCATGATCAAGTATATCCTGTATATGGCACGGTACGGTGTGGCCCTGCGTTTAGGAAGTCATTCTTATCAGAGGTAAGTGCTTGTATTGCAATTGTTCTTTATTTGATGCATCAATAATCTATCGGTTTTCTTATCCAAAGTAACATGGATTACTCATGTAATTTAATCTCATGAAACCAGGTGACTGTGGTCCAGTGTGAGGTACCAACTTGTTATTTTCTAGGGTATAAGCTAATCGGTGCAAATGAATCACGCGCAACTCTGAAATTAATAGTACACAGATCACAAAGGCCGTAAAGGACAAGTCAAGTCGTCAGTATGAGCTTTATGTACCCAAATGGGTGCATTTGCAGAATTTTACCTTGTCAACAGTAAGTGTATGAGAGGGTTACCAACAAAAAATATTACCTTCGCAAATGAGCAGAAAAATGAGAAGTGAGCGTCGTCGTAACTCGAGTTATGATCGTTCGATCAAGCAACGATTCGATAATTCTTAACTAAGTCTTCAGAATTTTCATCCAATCAAAAACGGAAAAGGTTCCTTTGAAACATTTCTCCATAATTCGTTTCAGTTGACTTGAACTTTGTTGTTCAGAGATGGTAAATCGGGGATCGTGTGGGATATCTCGGCGTTTATATTTAAAAGTTGGATAGAGTAGGTAGGTCGGAGTGAGCTTGGAAGTTAATTGAACAAAATATCCATCAGTTTTGTTTTTGCAAAACTCATATATCTACTGTATATTATGTAAAATACATTGTTCGAGGGAAAAGGCAACGGCAGATTTAAAGGCCTCACAGTGTAGTCTAACAGTGTTCAATACGCTTGGAAGCGATCGAGATCTCGTGTTTATTTAGGAGGAATTGAAAACAACAAGTTGATATTTTTGGTTCACAATGATTTGCTTGTGATACAAAGTTGGTGAAACTGATTAAAATTGTACACAATTAGCCTGGTCCTTATTGGGAACTGGGAGAATAGTCACGACAAGCGAGCGATGTGACAGAAATTAATCATCAGTGGACATTTATGTTTTGTCAACAGTGGTAGGTTCCTAAGTGGTCCACGTCACGGAGTCACCACATTTAAATCCTTGCCTGTGATGGGGTGGGGATGGTCTGATACTCCCTCTTCAACGCGAATCCGTCCACCGACTCTCATGAGACTGGTCTGTTTAAGCCGGCTCGTCACGCATTGGACAAAATCACCTCCCTATATTCTGTTTACACATCTATCGGCTCTGGTGATTTCCAAGTTAATTACGTACTAGTGCTTTCATATCCAAAGTGAAACGTTACCAACCAAAGATACCAACCCACTGTTCCAAAGTTTCTAGCTTCAGTAGTGTTGTTCATTTGTGTAGTTTCGATTGGACACAAAAAGCCTTCCTGCGGCTTGACACTGGATTCGTTCGTTTTCCTGGGCATTAACATTTAAGGTAGAATTGTTCAGACTATATACGATCACGGGCATGTGTTACAGATAGGCTAGAGCAGGCGATCCAATCCGGGGATATAACGTATGCTAGTAGGAATGTAGACACTGGTTAGGTTAAGTTACTTTTACTTCACCTTACTCAAGTATCACCTACCTCACGGCAGTCTGCGCTAGTTCGCCATTTATCACAAACGACCATGATTGCACACTGTTTCTCGGGAGCATTTTAAGTCTGCGAAGAAAATTTCGGTCAAGTATCAAGTGATTTGCTAAAACAGCCATACGTCGCCTGATGCAGTTTAGGTTGTGAACATACATCTTGAAAAGTTGAGAGACGTCGCCACTCACTTTGTAAAGCAGGTGTATTCTTGAATGAAATAAACTAAGTTAAAAGTCAGGACACGCTGTGTTTACTCGGATACTCAAAGTGACATTAATATGAAAAACTTGAGACAAGAAGAAACGCATGAAGTGTCTAATGACTCATCGTGAGATGTCAGCTTTGAACGAAGCTGACCCCATACCGAGCTGAAAGCTGGCGAGAAAATCTACTAAATATTCACCGGATAATCCTCAACGTCCAGGAATAAGATCTGCTTGTGATATCGTTACCATATAGTCGTCTTGAAGAAGGCCAGGAAGATAACAGGAGAACAGTAGACCCAGTAAATGGGAATACGTGTGGTCAAAAAAGTGAAATGCATTCACGAGTACCGAGAGTGTTTCGAATTTGTGAGTGCAGATAGCAGCAACTTTACTTTCCGTAATATCACGTTGACATGTGTGGATCAAGGTACATTTAGAAATAATACAGATTTGCTATGTTCCGTCAAATGCGTTAAAAGGTGATTATTTAAGGCATCTTGTAGATACTTAGTGAGCTGAGGAAAAGGTTTTGCACAAAGTCTTTTAGAAGCAGTGAAGGCAAGGGACGGGGATGTGGATCACCTCACAAATCCATTTATGTCTTGTTGCTGAGTAGCGCGTGTATAAAACTTAAAGGCAAGTATAACAAAGCTAATGGGGTCAGACTACTTGAAACCAGAGCATGCGGGTAGCCAAGGAAAATGTTTCAACATGCAATGAGAATAAGGAAATGCATAGCTGCTCGCGAAACCCCCCAATTAACCAGGAAGGTAGGAAGTTCATTTTGTTTAACTGGATTGCATGGGGGCCATGTTCTTACTAGCAGTTCGTCAATCTGCAAGGAGTTGGCCGGACGGCATTCTCAGACAATTGTTTGAACAATACTGTTCCTACAGGGCCACGGAAAGTGTCTGAATAGTCAGGAGACTGAGGCCAAGATTATCCTCTGGTTATTTCTAGTAGATGCACTGGAATGCCCAAGCTGACAATGCAAACAGTGTAGGTCATGGCGGTCCGTTGACTAGATAGCAGACATCGCCATACTGATGGCTGGTAGAGGTTTAATTTGTCGCTTTTATCCTGTTAAAATCACAGACATGCTGAGGGCAGGTAGCACCTCTGGGATTCTTTCTTGGGTTCGGAGTTTACGTAATTGTTTTCCACTTGAGGAGATGCTTGACTACGTGAACAGTCGGCAATCGGTATATCATGTTTGCTCCTGAGCTTGAAAACAAGACACACTGTTGTAGGTTGGCTCATTTTAGCATAAACATTGAATGCAAAGGATACTCAATTATATTACCTATTGCTTGCTACCTGTTCATGACATCAAATTTAGTGTTAGCAAAATCTACACCAAACACTTGCTGTTTGACAAGAACTTATAATTCGGTACACGAAATTGAAGCTTTCATGCCTCTTCTAAGAAGGTGAATGTCTAATTAATGCAGGGATGAATCAGAGCAGATTTTCTTTCATGCGAAAATAAATGATAGACTGCGCCGATAATAAATACAGTTTAGTAGTTACATCAAATGCGTGCTGGCATGAATAAGAATTAAAAAAAGAGATTAGATTACACAACACATGTTTAGGTTTCGTTTTTATTTAAGCTGGTGATGGACAGTTTCGTACATTCCTACCGACCCCATTAACTGTAAATGCCGGATATTTAGCACGAACTTAGCGTGAGAGCGAGTGAGAGTGCATACTACCTGTTTTTCAATTTGGCCTACCTTTACCACTGCTTGCACCTTCATGCGATTTGCGTATCACTCTATCTAGTTCAGAGGCCTATATTAGTGATTGCTTGAATGCTGTAACAATTAGTAAGGGAACAACTTTTGTTGATACATGCGGACAAGGTAGTTGTTGGTTCTCCCAAACGTCAAAGGTTGATAGACTCTTTCCCATGCATTCGCCTAAGTAGACCTGCTGTGAGTTTGTAACCAAAACCCATTCTTTCTGTACTTTCAGGTTTTAAACCTTCAGAATGAAATCCTAAATTTGGTTGTATATTCTACCAAGTTCAATCAGAACATTTCGTTGAGGGATATTTGTTTCAAGCCGCTGGAGCCTGATAATATGGATTGTGGAATCATGAGTCCACTGGAGTACTTCCAGAGCAACGCAACATTGTTCGATAAAACGGTAATTTGTGGCACTGCTGTCATCAAACCATTCTTCTTCCCATCATTAATGGTCCAACAATGTTCAATTTAGCTGTTTATGCACCAATTCAACTGTTAGCTAATTGTCAACTCCCTTTTGCGGTATTCAGGTTTTTCGCAATATCCTTTAGTTAATAAGTTATGTGTTACTATCTTCCTTGAAACGGTTATAGCATGCAATCTATCCTTGTAGTAAATTTATCCCAATTCTTGTGAACCTACCCTTTAGTTAAAAATACATAACAAAAGAACACAGCGAAAAGTGTGGGATAGCCAGGAGGTCCGACTGGGAGGTCTATTCAATCATCACGTTACATACGTCGCATTGTATCTAAGAGAACTCTTTGGATGCATTCGAACAGAGGACAGTGTTGCCTGTTTTCAAGACTTAACGCGATGAAGCACCATCTGTGTTTCGTCGGTCTTTCATTGCTTTCACTTTTTCGATCAATGTATGTCAAGTTTCTGGGGTCTGCAATGAAAAGAGCTGGCTGAGAACTTATCCGTAGGAATTGGGTAACCAATGCTAATTGCCAGCGAGTTGAAGAAGCTTGTAGATCTGTTTGCCATGTACTACTGAATTTAAGCCTCTCCATAAATAGACCGACAGTATAACTTTACAACATAAACTTTGTCCTAAGTTGTAAGTCCCAATAGTAGCCGACCCCAAAAAATCAGCAAATGACAAACGAAATGGTTTGTCCACGATTTTGATGTCAACACTACCTGCGCCCACCTGAGTGTGTTCAAGCGGAACCTGCTCTACTAGTTGTTAGTTGTGGTGACCGCAATGTGTTTTAATCGCGGTTTAGGTGGCGTAGGATCGTCAAGACATAGATTTTCACCACACCGGACAGTGTATTGACCAGGTGTTAAGTCTTATGTAACAGGCAAGACCGACGGCAATTTAGGGTAAGCTGAGAGGGTGTGTCACACAGGCCCCTTACACACTCCTGGGCCTCATGCATTTTAACCACAGTAGGGGTTCCATTCATAATGCCTTCATGAAGTTAGTTGGATGTCACAGCAACCTAATCATAACCAGCTATTTTCATAAAACACTACGCATTATCAAAATCAAAACGTGGCACAGTGGGGTGAATTCACAGCATGGGCCGCAGTCCCTAAACCTGGTTCGGTATAGCCATTGTAAGAAATTTGTTTGTTAGGATGAAGGAAGATGCCAATAGCAAGTAACGATAAAACTGTTGTCCACTAAGCAATTGCTGTGCGAGGACATCTACGACATACAAAAAGTACAATACGGCACCCGTCCACTTATCCCAACAGAAAGATGTGCATAACATGCACGGGAAGTGCCCAACGATGTAGGGCTGTGATGTGCCCCACCTTGTCAACTGACTATCCGCGCATGCTACGTACTCACCTCCGGCCGCTGTGTGCTTGGATTAATCAATAATACCATTAGTTCAGTGATGTCGATAAAGATGCTTCCATCCATACGCACTCAAACTTCTTTCGGGGGTGCTTGTATTCACACGAAGACCCTAGGACTATTAAAGTATTAGCTAGTCGCGTATTTACTGTAATTCTCTCAAAGGAGCTTAACTGAAAATAGGTCGTCATCAAGTGAAAGCGAGATATCAGTACCCTAATTTTCATGAGCGGTTGCTGTATAGAATACGTAGAATGGCACTTATTGCTTCCAATCGCCGTTCGTTCAAATTCTCCGAGAACATGCAGTGTTGCTGAATGCTTAGATTATCTGAAAGGTCGTAATACCACAGAACCGGAGCACTATTGCATTTTCGCAATATCCACCGCACATAGCCAGTCTACATATAACAAAAACAATTTTAGCAGAAAGGTAAATAGTGGGGCCGGAATCAATATCATTTTTCGAACCTTTCCTAAGCACCGATCAACATAGACTGCACTGTGTTTCTTCACAAGTACCACAACTTTTGATTTGGCAATCCTGTACTTAGGGGATCCAGGACTCTTTTCTTCGCCAGTGCCTTCAGGTGCGGGTTCGATAGCCGTCGTCCAACTCGAATGAAACTGAATACAAAAGACTATAAGGTTTAACGCTGAAGATACATGCGTTCACGGCATAAATTAACGATATAAGCTGTGTAATCAATTCCGATTCTTCACTTTCGCCGTGGATGTTATTATACAGTGAGTAGCAGTGGAGTAGCAACTACTCTGCCGCCCGGGGCGGTGGTAAAACGTTCGCATTATCTGAAGGCAGTATAGGCGTGTGAAGACCACACAATCGGCTCATAGTAACTTACACATTAGTATTCGATGAAATGAATCATCGTTTGGGAAACAGGTAAATATGATGAAAGTGACCGCAATGGGACATTACAGGGATTTCTGGGAAGAACGCTTGCCCACGTGTGACACATGGCGCAAATGTGTTGTTGGTCACACAGAGTAACATTAACACTTCAGCCTTCAGCTTATGCAAATATTTTGCCCGTTATATTTGGCATCGAACAACCCGCGGTACTAAAAATGCTACATCCTGTCACGAACTGCCCGGTGCGGACCGCCCCTCCTATGGCTTGTCCCTGGCGAGTAATAGTAGACGATTCTAAATTGTTTCTTCTACAAGTGATCAAAGAGGAACCTGAATCTGCTCGAGGTGGACAAGCACGAGGTGATCCATCAACTGCCAAAGGATGCAGTAAAATCTCCGTAAGCTGACAGCTCAAGGGACTGAATCAAAGTGGTCAACATGCAGAGGTGGACAACTAACGGAAGTCCTATGCAAAAACTTAACGTAACCTACTTTCTCGTCGTAAGTAGTATAGTATGAAATTTCTCACATAAACACGTCTCGAACACATTAGAAGTGGTCTCAAGTAACGACAAGCGCAATTCAACCATACAGTGTTATAGTAAGTGAAACGGGTGTGGATCACGAAGTTAAACAATTTTTTAAGGCGAAAGAATCTTTACCTGTTTCTTTCTCTTATCACAGCGGTCCATGAAAAAAGCGCTCTCAGCACAAACCACACTACTTAGCCTGCTTTGACATTTTCCACAGCAAATGATTTCCTTTGCATTAACAGTTGTCTGACTTCATCTTCTTTTGGACTTTCTGTGAATTTTAAATCAGCGTTACTTAGTGTTTCAACTTCTTCATCAGCATTGTCAGGTGTTTATTCTTTGTCTTCGTAGAAGGTACCGTAATCAGTATCTCTTGGAAACTATCCTCCGGGTCTGGCTCAGTGTAAGTTGCAAAGTCATCATTCATGGCAACAAACTCGTTACAGTCTAGTCCATCAAATTCTGCTATTGATGGAATGCCTAATAAGGCGACTGCATCCCACACGGGTGGTTAAACAAATCCGGATTTTCTGCAACACTTCCGCATTATTGCTGGTTTAAATGCGAATCAAGCGGAACCTCTACAAAGCACAGCATCCCAGGCATTAACTGAAGCAATAGATGAGGTTCCTTTCATATGAGAATCATTAGTATGCAATTTTGCCATAGCCCATTGTATGAGCTGGGCTGAGTAGTGCATTCTGATTATTGTGATGATCCCTTGGTCCAGGGGTTGCATATTTGAGTTCATGTTTGCAAGCAGAAACTCAAGTGTAATATGTGTGATATTTTTTTACATGGGTTGACTAGAACAGTTGTCCACTGTTGGGATAAGGAAGCGTTTCTTCTTCATCATTTCTTTGTCGATACTTTGATCCACTCCTCAAATACGGCAACAGTCATCCACGCGGATTGGTTTGCTCTCCAGGTGACTGGAAGGTTTTCAGTATTCAGCTTTTGATCGCATGTAGTCTAGCTAATTTATCAATGACTAGAGGTTTGAGCATCTCCCCACTTGAACTAGCGTAGAGCAGAACTATGAAATATTCTTTGGAATCGGTTGGATTGTGCCTCGCCCAGTCGAGGAGTGAAAGCTTTGTTCCTTTTTATTTATTTATTATTTCCACTCTTACATTTGTCACCCTTTAGGATTCAGCTTAGCATCGCCTTGAAAAAGACCGCAGTCGTTAGAGTTACAAACCTCGTCATTGTTGGAAACTTTTTCGATGAATTCTTGAATAAGCTCATTAGGCACTTCTTTGGATTAACCACACAAAACGCTTTGGAAAGTGTTATGGCGGACTTTAAATTTCTCTAGCCCACCAGTATTTATCTGAAAATCTGAAACCCCAAATGCTTGTGAGAACCTTTTAGCAATTTCTCTAACCATTGGCCCAGAAATTTGACCTTTATTTGCAGTTATTTGCTTGAACTACCGTTGCTTTGCCTTATCGACTGCATAGTGTGAATTTTCCTCCTCTTCCGCTGTACTTCTCCTCTTTCATTATCGTATCTCACCAAATACTTATGTTTGTGTCTTTGGATGTTGCTAACTGTTGTTTTACTAACACCAAAATGCTCCGCGGTCATTCTTTGGCTATGGCTTTCCAGAAAATGTAGCAAGCTAATCTTTTCTTTCAAAGTAAACTCAGCGGTCATTTCTCTGGGCCAGAATCTTGAATTCCTCTTGAAGACCGTTTCAAAATGGTTCACTGCACAGAGTGAATATAAGTTCTGTGGTTAAATTTACATATTCTCAATTAGATACCATAACTAACCTCAGACGGCTTCTCTCTCAAGCCTACACTAAATATAGCCGGAGGAATGCTCGAAACTGAAGTGGGCGTAAACCTCAATCTCGCCACAATCCAATATGCTAATGCACTGGTGCTTAGACTTGGTGGTTAATCGAGGTTGGACCCCTGATTGCGTCGCGTGGACAAATGTTCCTAGGGGTAGACGAAGACTTGCCTGTAGACAGTCGAGTGAGGTTGAACATACATGGTTCGGACTCATTCCGTTGGTGCAGACCTGTGGGACCCACTTTGAACTAGGTAATAACCGTGCGAGTAAACACTGTCGGACAAACACGCACATACAGGAAACATGCTGTATCCTCACTGATTTGGGGGTCAGAAGTCCACACATTGCAGCCCGCTGCACATCGTATTATCGGAACAAAAAAGCCATTCACGAACCATTGGATGTAAAGCCATCAAATGGTCAACTGATGGAGGTTGAATTATTACTGACTGTCATAGCCCAAGTGGTCAAAATACCACTTACGGAGGTGGTCAACATACAAAGGTCTGGTTCCATAGGGTTGACATAGTGACCGTTCAAGCTATGAAAAAGTGGTCAAACTAAAGAGGTGGTCAACATACGAAAGTGGTTGAGTTTGGGGTTTTTATTGTATATATGTACTTGCATACCATGTCATGAAAATGATCTTCTAGGAGAGCCAAATTGTGGCAGTGTTGGTTCAAAGTGACATCTACCGTTCAACAAAATCCTTGGTGTCGAAGACCAAGAACTAATATACTGGTTTGTTGCAGATGTTCGCGCCGTTTACCTAATTCATCTTGCAAAAATTCAACAGATCCGTATTATCCATCTAAAGTATGCTATTTAGGACTGATAACATTGCAAAAAGCACCCGCTCGTTACATCTTTGATTTCCCAGCAAGCGTCAACTAGCAATGACATGCATTTGCTCCATGTACCATACCAACAGACGGAAAGCCGTCCGGGTGCACAGTGGAAGGCACCCATTTCCACGGGGTGCCGTCATGCGGACATAGTGAATGCTAGAGGATCTTAGTCACTTCGAAAACCACTTCCTGAAAGTTAACCGCACAAAGGACCTGATGAGTTATCAGATACATTTGGTAACGCAATTTGTAAGGTTGAAATTTTGCCGAAATATTCCATTCGAGTTTGCCATCAGCGTAGTGCTCCTTCGTTTGTGTCATTTTTAAACCCACCTTATCCATATTTGCGGACGCCTTGTGGATGTGTTAAGTCACTTGTAGTAACCATTGTAACCTAAATTTCTCGGGGACGGCTTGACGACGTATCCTATTAGTTTTACCTAATGAAAATATCAGTTAATTTCGCTAAAGTTTTTAGGCGATTTACACTGTTGGTCTCTTTTGGAAGTCATAGCCATATTTGCTGAGCCGCAACAGAGCGACGAGCATCACGAAGAGATCTGCTATCTACCTGTTTGGATCAATGTCGTGGTTAGCAGAGAAGATTATGCGCCATTGACACTAGCTAATCGGCTACTGGTATTAACCAAGGCCAGGATATTTACGCAAGTCGACCTCTCCGTCCTCCAGACACATAAAATTGCGCTACCTATTCAAACGCAACTCTTTTTGTGTGCTTTCGCTGGCCAAGCTTACCTTTAGGCTTGTAGTTGTCTGGTCAGATTTTTCAGCAATTGCTGACAAAACTACTAGCCAAAATTTCGGGAAGTTATGTATGTCGGGTTGTCTTGCACGAATGTGATTTGTATATATTTCTGTAACATTGAGATGAAGATCATCAAACTGATGCGTGAGATCCGACTGCGCAAAACGGATGTGGATTTTCTTGCGCATGTGCCTAGCTCGAGTATATGAAACCGGGTCCAGAGAAAATCAGGACTATAAACGAAGTGACTTCTCTCATGGGATTGAAGACCGCAGGGGATGTTTACCGGTGTCATTTCTTGCCCCAATTGGTTGAAGTGGGGATTCCATTTTGACAATTTACTCACAAGATAGAGCGTTTTAGTTGGAACATCGAACAAGATGACGCCTTTCGGAAGATTCTCAATCTGATTACGGACACAACTGTGACACGTATTATGATCCATCACTGCTACTCGCGATGCACTGTGACAGTACGGCATCGAAACCATACTCAGACAGAGAATGATGCCTGTTGCTTTTTGCAGCAAGAGACCAAAAAATAGCGAGCTAATCCCAAGTCAAAAATAGTTGATGGTGCTGGTTTATTACGTAGAACTCAATACTGCTGTCTTACCAGACCACACCTCTTTGATGTTTATAGCTAGCAAATAGCTCCACATTATTCCATCTCAGTGACAGCCTATGTATATTCAACTTTAGAAGTAGTACTTGGATGTTGTCTATCATCCTGCATCCAAAGTAGACATTAAAGATGGCTTATGAAAAACGTAATTTCCAAATACATCTGGACATTGATCCAACCTTGATAGAGATTTCACGAGCTTGTTTGAGTCATCATGTTGCTTTATAATTTTAGACGCCTTAAGTAACTTATCGAATACAAAACTCTTTGCAAAGCTGCCAACTTCTGCTCCTTGAGAATACTGTATACAATAAGAAGGCTGCATGAAGCATTCATTTTTTTACCTTTGTGATGAAAGCATTACACAGAAAGTATCAATAGTTATGTGAAATCGAAGTATTATCCCATAAGCAATACGGCGTTCTATGCTGGAGCTCCTCCACTACGCATCCTTTAGAGTGAACTGCTGTGTGGTACCAGTGCGGAAACAGATGTTCTGCTCGGGAATGACTAGCGAAAAACGAGATTAAGTACCAGACTGTTTCGAATGCAGAACTAATGAGATGAGCCTGCCTAAGTACCTCGCGATGCCGCGTAAATTCCCAGAGCAACCATAGCAGAGAATCGTCTTGGATCGCCTCATACAAAATCGTGGACACTATATGAGTTTAATCGTACACCATAGTGACTACTTTAAAAAGGATGCTCTTATCAATGCGCAAGCCGCTGTGAACAGGTTACTATGTTAAGCCGCTCAATACCCCGGTAGCTTATCTCTGATATCGAACATTTAACAAGGCAGAATTTCAACTCCTCAGTGCTAAATGAGAATTACTTCACCCGCTCACTAGTTCCTACCATAGCCGGTCAACTCAAAAGTTGAGTCAGTAGACATGAAGAAATTTCTCAACAGTTTAAAGGAAAGCACGAGAATCTCTGTGTAATGTCATAGGAAAGAGGAAACACTTACTAGCGAGATTGGAGCACGTCCAATTCGGTCAATTTGCTATGTCCTCGCTACTAGCACTTAAGGTATTACTGCCAACCGAGATACCATCGGCATCAATTCCCCAAGGTCGTCTGGCAAACAGAACAGTGTTTGTAGCCCAATGAACCTAGACGGAATGTGCATGCTACAAAAATAAAGGCAAATGAACTGCTTTAGCAATTGAATAGAGCCTCAAATTTTGTACTGTAAAAATGAATATGCGTTTTATATATCACTGCTTCTGATCCTTGGTTAGACATAATTTTGTCACTCGGAGGACCGCTCAACAGCTCTCACGAGGTTTGTTATGAAATGGACTTAGACTGGTCAATGTTTGTGCTAACGTGAAGATCGGGATGAGTACACCATATCTGATGTAGTTCACTGGTAACGTCTACCTTGTACTTACTACGTTAGCTGCACATCACACCATGCCCAATGAGTTAGTCTTTCACCTTTATAAAACTGGTAGTCCGTCGTTCCACAGTGGTCACGGATCAGCCCATCAGTGCCCGAGCTACTCATTTAATTGGCTGCTGTTTTTACCCTTCTCCCTTTCTCAGTTTAATGGGTCCAATGACTACGTTGACCACATGCTTTTCTGCGCAGATGCACCGCTTTCCATTAGTGGCCCACATCCGGATATAGAAGTCAGCTGCCTAGCAGCTTCCGGCATGCCAGTTATGCCCAAAGTCGTATTTGGTGGCTTCAGCGGTGAGTATCATTGGAGATGCAGGCTAATTCAATCGCCGCAGGTCAAAGTGACATATGGTACCGTTTATGTCTGTTACACTGCCTAGTTATTGTCTCGGTTTTTTGGAACCAGCCTAATGTAAGCATACGCTGTTCCTCCAGATTTTCTCAAAAACTAAAGAGTCTGTTGCTGCCCACAACATAGACTGCAGATATGATGACAGCCTAACTCAGTTTGTATGTTTAATAACTACGAATCTCGTTCCCATAGAGAGATGGATCTAGACCTGCTGCTGGAGTAAGTATAATGGAAGTGTAACACAGAAAGATCTTCTATTTTTCATCGTATATTCTTGGTGCTACGATGGAGCATAACGTAGTAAACTAAACAAGATAAAAGTATGATCAGCCTAGAATTAGCATACGCACTTCTTCTGATAATTTCAATTCATAGGTGCAAAACCGGATCCTGTGTATGCTCAACAGAATTTCTGAACTATTGTGTACCAACATTAGTTGTTGCATACGTGATTTTCTGAAGGGCGTTTATAAGCAGTTGCTTCGTTGCGTGATTACAATGGACAGAAGCGTAATAGATGACTGCTCGGCAACTTGATTTATTTGGTTCAAGGATTTCGTTTGTGACAAGGTAGACTTGCACACCCAGACCCGCAAACAGCCACTGTCGCAGATATTGAATCAATCAGCTGACATCTTGTCAGGTTTCGGAGCAAAATCTGGACGTTGATGATGCTTCAAGTTGAACTTAAAGTGTCCACCATATGGTTGGATTGCGACGCTTCATCTCTCTCTTGAGCCGTCGCTTTACTTCGATTTAGACCTCAGTCATTCCGATCAATAGGATGGTACCTGAAGTGGAGGGATTCCGGCGTTTCTCTTTCTAACACATTCATCGTGCATTGTTTGCTTGCATATCAACTCCATCAACCGGTAAGAAGCACAAATGCTTACACACCCGGATACATGTTTATTACTTGTCAGTCCCGATTTAGCACGCGGTTTTGTCCGACTAAACTTCAGTCCTACAGAAGTTTACTAGAAAGTTTAAAAAATAAACATAATACTTCCCGTGCCATTAGCTAACCAACATGTGTCGGCATTTATTAAGCTTCCTTTGTTCTCAACTGAAATCGTGTGTGTAGCATTTGAATGTTCGTCCTTCCTGGATGCACAATTTTAACACTTGAGAAACGTCAGCATCTTTAAGTAGGTATACAGGAATTCTGACGACGATGCTTCGCTGTTTCTACCTATAAAACTGGAAGGTTTGTGTCCTTATGATTATCATCTGAAACTGGCAGCTATTTACCCAGAAATCGATGCTCATTTAAAACCAATTCTAGAACGAGGAAAGGCTTCCAGTGCTTTCCAGTTGCATGTAACAAGGATTTGATTTCATCAATCATATCCATCTGAAGCATACATACGGAACATGGAACTGTAAGATCCGCAGGGATGATGATTTCAAACGTCAAACAAATGCTTACCATTAAGAATAATACCAACGGATCTTCTCGGTTTTGCGAGGCATGCCCTGTCCGGCACCAGCATATTGTTACAATTGTTTCCTATAGTATTAACAGCATATTCCATGTCAGGCAGGAATAACAACGTGTTTTTATTCTCCAGGGTTTTGCAGTTCAAAATCTTGTTTGGGTACATAATATTTAATGGTGTTCTGACGGAGATCTCCTTGTACGGACAGAACCGAGCTTTCATTTTCTTGGGAAAAGGATGAGGAGCAATTTTGATGATAAAAAAGATTAAAGCTGAAATCATGCTCTATTTAAACAAAGCATCTGATGTAGGTAAATCATTTGCTGTACATTGTGGTGTTCTAAAAAGTTGGTGAAAGACGAGGGTATTTATTTACTTCATTTCAACAGCTGCACATATGGACCGAGGTAGATGGAACGGGAGGTTTATCTGTTGTGTGTGAGGTGAACTTGGTTGACACTTGTCAACTGGCCCAGGTATTTTGCTATAACTTTACGGAATTTTTGAAATAGGAATGAAGATGTTGGAAGTAGAATCGGTTAGCTTCACTGTGCTGCCTAACACGTTTACATGAGAGCAATATAGAAGCATAGACGAGTAAGAGTAGAACAAATGGTAAAAATGAATGAAGATGGTTAGATTCAGTCAGCGTTTCGTTTTCAGCTCACAGTTTTTGATACAGCTGCAAGGTAGGTATGGCTAAGTAGAATGTGAAGGAACGGCGACAAAAACAATCATCTCAATCTCAGTTAGAAATTCCTCTGCAGTCGACGCTTGTTGGTTTGTCTTTGGGTTACGCTTTCCCGAGTAAAGAAGGAAAGTGGGCCGGGTGAAGAAGAGGAAAGGAAGTTATGGCAACATTATATTTTTTTCCAATGCACCTCCTCAGGAGGGCTTGAACAACTGAATGCAATGTACATAGCCCATTTCATGTGTATCTGTTCTCAACACATTTGTCTCGCCCCCCAATCAAATAACATTTTTAAGCTCGCTTCGCTTTACAATTGTGGGATAAGTTATCGCCTGCAGTCTTATTTTCGTTGTGTCCAGTATTTTAATAACGTGGATCCTGCTGCATAGTCGGTTTCTCTTCTCTGTGATTTAGATGACAACTACAAGGATGCCAAAGCCCTGGTGATCACATTCTTAGTGCGGAATCATCAGGACCCACAATCCGAACAAGTGCAGAAGGCCGAAGAATGGGAGAGTGCATACTTACGCAAGATGAAGATCTGGTCAGAACTGAACTCGCAGCTAGCCATCGTGAGCTATCGTGCGGAGGTGGGCAGCATGAATGGATTTAATATATTACATGTGATTATCACTATTGTTTTGACTCACAACAAAATTGGTCGATCACCCCAAAAACGGAACCTTCATCCGCTTCTATAAGTTATTGATTATGGCGTAATAACTTAGTGTTCTCGCATCTGAAGTTTATGTAGTCTACTAATACGTACACAACCATGATCACGAGTAGTTCAGTTTCGCGATACCAACTCTCATCTCGGAGTATAGTGGCAGCAATGATCGAAGTGCAGCTCCAAATATAACTCTCTTTTGGTTACCAACAAATCGGTCAAAGCTACGGTTTGCGATAAATCTATGGTTTTGGATAAAAACGATGGTCACTCTGATGTACCTAACCCAAAAATTATATGCAATTTACAACGGCTTATGGTGGAAGTAGTTTGTGGAGCATTCCGAAGCCATAGGCAGCACATCCTATCAGTCATCTTCCTGCCTAGATCAGTGGTATAACCTTTGATCGCGCAAATCCGTTTGATAAAAAACTGCCGAAAATCTTATATACAAACTAAGGCTGATGCAGCTAAATTGCTGCTGCTTAAACAGGGAAAATTTTATATATTTTGTATCATGTAGGAGCTTGATCTAAAAATTTCGAAGTTGAAACATCATTCATTGCAGCGAGTTCCGTACAAACCCATACTTTGAGCTTATCGTTCGGGTTTTGGTGGTTGGAGTGCTAACGTGCTTCAAAAATGGTCCATGTTAGTAATCCACATCCCTGCAGTCCAGAAGGCATCCGTGAGGCAACAGTTTGTCAGTACCATCGCCATCATGCGTTCCACCATTGGGATAGCAAAATACTACCCAGCAGCATTATCAGCTTAGCTTCTGACGGACTCGTATTCACCACACAGTGTTTACAACACTTGTGATGGACGATCAACTTAAGCTGCTGTTTTGACTGCTGTCTGAGATCCAGTGTCAATCGGATAACGCACGAGCCCCATCGATTCACATAGTGGAGACAAGTAAACGTGACAAATGATGTTACGTGAGTAAACTGCGTGCATGGTTGCTTGAACCGAGTTTGAACTTGTGCGCACATAGCATCCATACTTATCTAAGTGCTTTGTTCTAGACTTCACAGCAGCAACAACTTCAGACAATCGTGCCTGTTAGTCTCTCCCAAGAGCAGGATTGTCTACCAACACAGAAGACTATTTGCACCAAAATACTAAACTAGTTGTCATTCTTTGCACTATTTTGATGTGGGCTAACAACAGGGATTCCTCAGTACTGATGATTTTCAATAAGTTGTTTGTGCGACTGATTTTAGGGCATGAAATGATCAGACCATCTGCAGAATAAATGGACTGTACGATAAAAACTGTCATGTATAGTTCTGAATTTTAATGCATATTTGCCATCCTTGTTTTTCCAGAGATCTGTAGAGGATGAAATTCGTCGCCAGTCGGAGGCAGACGTCTTGACAGTTCTTGTCAGTTACGTGGTCATGTTCGTATACGTCAGTATATTCCTGGCCTCTTTCCAGAGATGTCGAACTGTTCTAGTGAGTTGAATATATTGTGAAACCAAAGGTGTCTACTTGCATAACTTAGTGAGTAGCCATTTTTCCGTTTCGACTATGGTAGCCTAACATTCTTCATTTGTCGGACCCCAATTTATGTACTCATCTTGCATTCTCAAGGTGCGTTTCGTCGATGGGCAGCCCGGTTGATAGCTGGTAAAAGAGAGAAAAAACATAACTTTTGCATCCCACATGCTTGGAATTTATCCCGGAGAAGCATTCGTTACAGCCTCCTTATCACATCTTTTTACGTTTTCACTCGAAGTAAAGTTCCTATGATAGTATAAGTTCTTTTTAACCATTCAGTATGCGCTTGGTCGCCCAATCTTTAACCGCTCACAGGAAGCTACTTGCAGATTGTAAGTCCGCTCTATTATTGTAAGAGATCCTTTACATAAAACAGATCTTAGGGTGCAAGAAATGAATGCAGTAAATTTTTCGCGAGTAAACATGCTATTCTCGTTCTGTCATTTTAGTAAAGTTGTCATGCGTTTATCTGACAGGTTGATATGCGCATCACTCTCGGATTCGGTGGTGTCCTAATCGTCATTCTGTCAGTAATATCTTCGATTGGCTTGTGGAGCTATTGTGGTACGCCGGCCACTTTGATCATCATCGAGGTGATCCCATTCCTTGTTCTGGCAGTGGGCGTGGACAATATATTCATTCTAGTACAAGACTTTGAGTATTATGAAGCGAAAACCGATATTCTTCGCTGCGAGGAGAGTGATAACGCGTCAGCTTCAGTTTGTGATGTGTCAATGTATCCTGTGTATACAAATGAAGAAACGAGGTCCCTTGACACTGAAAAGAAATCAAATCCTACAATTTCAGCTAGAGTCGAAGCACGGATGGCCCAAACGATGAGTCGAGTCGGGCCCTCTATCCTGTTGTCCAGCGCAGCGGAATCTACTGCATTTTTCTGTGGTAGGTATTCGGTTTTCTTAGTAAAAGGTGGTTTTAATAGGCTACCAGTTATTATTATAGACGGAATGACGCACTTGAATTCTGAATGCAATGAGCCTATCAAAGAATTAGTTTCCTTGACTTACCTAGGACACTGATTCCAACTGATGCTTCGGCAGATGGTAGTCTGGGTGCACGTAACCAACTGGGAACCAACGCACAGAATACCAGTCAGGCACCGTTCACTCTAGTAGAAAGTAATTTCGTGGGTTGGATAAACAGTGCGGAATTGTTGTGCCTTAGCGTGTATGAAGCTCAGCATTTTTCCTAATAGGCAGTTATAAACTGAACAATGAATAACGACTTATAAGGGACAAAAATGCATTGCTTGACAAGCCCCGTAGGATAACCGAGTAGTGGGTTATAAGATGAGTGTTTCAAGTGATAGGCAAAGGGAAAATTCTGATTTGTGGTGACTCGCTGAGTTATTCACATGAATCCATGTGTTGAGAAAAGAATCCCGGAGAGGACATCGAGACAGGCTCTACAGTTACCATGGCGTCAAACTTCACCATCTAATGACGCCACGCTTAAGCCTTCCACTAATGTTTCCCCAGCCAGTGTCGACATTTGATCTTATTGACCGGTCAATTCACTGTATTGATTCATGGTATTTATATACCACGTGTTCGTTTTATTCCTATTTTCTGTGGTGTATTGGTCTGATGCGAACTACCGAAAACAAGCTTGTTCGTCTAGCTCTCTTTCGCTTCTGAAATCCATGTGCTGGTCTTCACACCGTAAGGTGGCGGACTTGGCTGGTAAGAACACTGGTTTTGCCTTGCTTTGTCTTCCATTGGAAACAGCCTTTGTCCCGTAATGTGTAAATAAGATAGAATGTGGTTCAATCGTACCTTAAAAAGCGTTAATATGAGGCGAAAATAATGTGGGAAGGAAGAGCGTTCCACAGTCTGAATACCCGAAGCGAGAAAACGTAATGTCGGTAATCAACTCGACTGTGGTCAGTTTAAGTTGTTGGCCCCCCAAGTTGATATTGTAGTTGAATTACAATTGATCTGGACGGGCGTGATTGGAGTTAGTTAGTATTTGGTACACCATGGTAAAGTCTTTGCGTAGGCCTTGATATTCGCCGTTGTACGAGCCTGGGGCTTACAGTCTTTGTTGGTACCGGATGGGAAACAGTCTTCGTACTCGCTACGGCGACACACATACTAAAATTGGAACAATACATATCCTCTGCGCAAGGATGGCATGCAAAATCGTGAAGCGTTCCATATTGTCTAATTGAGCTAACACGGCGCACGGACAATGGCGAAACAAATCTCCGTATTGTATGTTTTCGGGTAGTCACCCGGATTTCACCGTGAATCCGGAGCAACAGGTTTCTGTTGCTTCAGTTGCGCCCAGCGATTCCTACCGCGGACTGCGCGTAGCGTTTACTAACGTCTGCAGTCCGCTGAACAAACGTGATGAACTGTGCTACTTTGTAACCTCTCAGCGGCCAGAGAGGTAGCATGCCTTGCTGAGACCTCGTTAAACTCCGACGTAACAGCCCAAGAAGTGGAAATCAGTGGCTAATCGTGTATCCGATGTGATAGATCAACAAATGTTCGCGGCGTCCTTCTGCTTTACATAAGCTCTTCGTTGTGTGGGAGACTAGTGAAAACCTATCGAAGTGCTGATGGTCTACGTGAGTAGTTATAGTGTTCGATTCACCTCACACGCTGCGAGATGCTCACGGATGTGGTATATCACAGTCCACTGAGTAGCTTATTGATTCGGTTGCTGTATGTCCCAAACCACATGAGTCGTCTGCAAGGGCGATCTCAACTTACCTCGAATACAGAGGCCTGATGCTGGACTTCTTCCTGATCATTGTGAAGTCAAGAGGAAGCTTGCGGAATTGATAGTTGAAACCGGGGCCAAACAGCACAGAAACCAGCGGAAGCGTATAACAGCGCGCGACTCCATCGTGCTCCGACCTGCTTTTGACCAGCTGTGAGAAAAGTGTGCGTGACATTCAAGTCTTGGAGCCCATGGAAGCGAGAGCGAGTGACCACTTGACAATCATAGCCAGCTTGGAACTGCCGCTTTCGTATTCTCCCCGCTGGAGCCAGTTTTCAACTATTGGAAGGCGGATTTTAATCGTCTCACTGGAACAGCGAGTCAGATGGACTGTGCGTTACTAGAGGGTTCATTCGTTGAAACCTGTTGGACTATCATTAAACAGGGAGTGAAATCGTTTTGCGCCCGACTTGTACCTCTCAAGTATCGGAACGTTGATCCAGTCAAGCCACAATGGTCTGACAAGGAGTACAGTAAACTGATTCGATGGCTACGCACACTATAGAACAAATACCTCTTATCTGGTTCTGACGATGTTTACAAGGCGTACAAGGTACAACGAAATCTCTGCAACAACGGGAAAATGAAAAAACGTAGAAGCTTCGAAGAGCAGCATGCAGCCGTCGCGCAAACTGTTCCCAAGAGGATCCTCGCCTAAGTGAAGCGACACCGGAGGCATGCAGGCAATGTGCTACCGTTGGCAAGCTCAGACGGACAGCCCCTAACGTCGAGCACAGATCGTGCGTTCGCATTGGCGGCGCACTTGGCTTCCGTATGTACAACTGATCATGTGTCTATACCGAGTTCGACAAGTACCGCCCCGTGCTGTACTAGACAGTCTGCATTGCAGCACTGAAGGATGTACGCAAGCTGCTGGCAAGTCCTGACGGCACGAAGCCTGCCGGATCAGATGGAATCTACCCACTGATCCTCGAGTTCTTATCGGCCATCGTCTCGTCTTCTGTAACTGAGCTGCTCGACAGGTCCTTATCCACTGAGTTATTACTAAGCGACTGGAAATGCTCAGTCGTAAAGCCATTACCGAAAGGTGGTGACCCAAGCAAAGTGAGTAACTTCAGGCCATCTGCCTGCTTGCTGTTTTGACAAAGACGCTTGAGAAGATCGTGAAGACGGTTCTTTTTCAGCTTCTCAAGGCAAGAAGCTTCTTGATACCCGTAAAGCAGGGTTTCATGCAAGGTCGCTTGTACATCACCAACCTACTGTTGACGAGGCACGAATGGTTGTATGCGCTAAACCAACGTAATTCGGTCGACGTCAATTACATTGACTTCAGTAAGGTTTTTGACAAAGTGAATCATGAAGTGCTCTACTAGAAACTGAGGGTGTGTGATGTTGGCGGCTCGCTGCACCGATGAGTCAGGAATTTCATTGTTGGTCGAAATTGGAGGATCCACCTCGACAACCATTTAACCGCCTAGTATCCATCGAGCAGTGGCGTGCCCCCAGGCACTGTGGTGGGACCCAATTTGTCCCTGATCCATGTAAATGATGTGGCTCAGCTAATCCGTTCACTTTGTGCGCTTCTTCAGGTGACTTGTAGGTGTGGAGAGCAGTCGGTACACCCAGTGGCTGTGACCTGCTACAGCAGGACCTCGACCGCTTCTCCAAAGTACACTCTTCAAGATGAGCGATTAGATAGGCTTTGCTGTAATCAATAAGAGGACAACTAGCATTCCAATGGTTCAACCTCACCTATGTTGTGCAGACAACTGCAGTAAAGTGCTTAAGATCAGTATTACCTGTTCTAGCTGCAATAAATCGTACTGTCCGCAATGGGCAGGCAAATCCGTCCAAGAAGTGAGACAGACGAACCAACTTGCTGACACAATTTGGTTTTGCCCAACATGTCAAGTCATACCTGTTGTCAACTGTTTATCACTGCACATGAAAAAGTGCGATAGGATGACTGAAGTAATCGCGCAATTTGTAACTACTAAGATCGCTCCCTCGGAGGTAAATATGGGTACGATAATACCTCACCCAGCCAAAGTAAGATCCGAATCTAAACCGAAGAAAAGAGCTAGACGCTCCAACCGCACAGCAGAGTCTGTGACTCTAAACCCACTGGGTCACCTCACTCCCATACGCGGGCAAATCTAAAACAAGCCTGCTTCCAATTCTCCAACCATAGCCGCTTCACTTGGAGGTTCAGCCATGACACCGACAGCTCAGAGCTGAAGGCAATCCGGTGCAGATAACAAGCAGGTAACGTACGCATCGATTGCCTCGACAAACACACCGGGAGCGACACACATAGGTCCATCTTCAGTACCGAGCACGCGCGACGCATTGCAGTTTTCACCGTCAACTCCAGTGGTGCCCTCTAAACATCCCAAATTGCCGGCAAAAAGTATAAAGCCAACACTTGATAGACAAAACCACCCTGCGCTAACTCTCGTATGCACCAACGTTCCCGAATCCAAATCTGGCACAATAAAAGGCAAGTTGCAAGACGATCGCAACCAGTGGAGTTCCACCTGCAAGGCGATTGGCCTTCGGGTTGAGCCTGCAATGCTGCAACGCGTTGCGCGTCACCCGACCTCAGTGCACTCTGTTGAATCTTGAATTCTTCGAGTAACACTAGTCTCAGCAGATGAGACAGAGGATGTCCGGCTCTCAACAGTTCGTCTTCGCAACTCACCGAGCGGAGTGCGCATATTATCTGATCTACCTTGGAAAGATCTCCCAAAAGAAGCAGTGGAGCAACGCGGTATCGCTAATATGGATAACAAGAAAACAATATTGGTTCATGGTGTTCCTGAGCTTCTGCATTCTTTTGATCCCGATGCGCAAACACATGATCGAGAGCAGTGGTGCTACATCCGCGAAGCACTCTGTTGACAATGTGTGCGTGAATTTTAATCGTGGCTTCTACTTTCTTCGAACTTCACACTACTCACAAACATCCATCATTAATCTACCATCGCCCATTGGACGTCTGAAGGACAGGAACTTCGGTCTATTGGGAAGTGACGGGTGAGTGAGCCGATCTGCAACATCAGGACAGGTACTGTGAGCTTATTGGCAACACGTCGCGCACCAAGCAGAAGACATGTGTTAAAATTTGCGCACCTAATCGTCAGCCCTCGGTAGCTCAGGTGGTAGAGCAACGGACCCACAAACATCCACCATTA